TTTTATTATATAGATTTTTAAGACTTTGACTTTGAGGAGGACATTGCATTAGGTAAGTAGATTGATTTGGACCCTAAGACGGATCAGTATGTGGATCCAGGAGTGGATGCTCAATGATGATTGATTGTAATTTATATTTCTAAATTGAGAGTGATAGCTTAGAACAATGTTTTTGGATTAATACTTTTAGTAGTTAGTTGGAATATTTCTATTCAGGTTTTATTTGTAACTCTAATGATTTATTTATGTTGGATTTGAGATTGGTTTAATTGTTTATTTAATTGATGGGAGGATTCTATTTTTATCACTTGTTGATTATTTTAGATGCTTTCATGATTGCATGTTTTATAGATAGTTAATGCTCTTTCAGGATGGATTTTAGAGCGTTACAATTTCTAAGTGAGAAAATGATACTCTTTTTTAGTATTGAATCTTAGTTTTGAAGAAATCATTTGGTTTTAGTTTATCACCGTGCTATACTATTACAAACAAGCCTTCATGTGGTAAATTGGGAACTATTGGTTTCTACTTTTGTAAATTGAAAAATGATTCAAAAACACAGTTCGAGCAACCACATCCCTCATTGGAATTTCATCAAANTATATATATAATAATAATCAAATTATATAAGAGGTGGTCTAAGAAGTTTTTCCTCCCACTTTTCTTTTTTTCTTAGAATTTTTAATTAATTAAATATCACATTTAATTTTAACTAATTATATTCTAACACATATCATGTAACAACCCCTTTGCCAGTCATTTAAAGTTTTTTTTTAAAAAAAAAATCAGCCACAAATTTATATTTTTTTTAAAAAACATAGTTTTACCACTCTAACTTTTTATAATTGTTTATCCCCCTAATTTTTTTATATAATTTTCTATTTAACTTTTCAAATGATATGATGACAACAGAAGGAGAAAAAAAAAAGAAAGGGAAAAGAGAATAGGGAGGAAAAGAGAGGTGTGCAAATTTCGTGTATCTCACCAGGTAGTCGCTAGTTGTTTATATACGCAAATCCCTCGATATTAACAGATTTTTTTTTTTTTCATGAATAGTCTATACAACTGACCTCTACTCCCAGAAAAGAAGGAACTCTGAAGCATATGATCAACCCAAGGATTTCCATTTCCAATTTGGTAGGTCCAAATGCAGTGGCGACATTTCCACATTCCTTCAGTCATAGATATGAGGCAAAGTTGTCGCAAAATTCAATTATTTACCCAACACCAAAACCCTAACTGTTTAAAATTTTGTGTCGTGTTTAACTTATGTNAAGTTGTCGCAAAATTCAATTATTTACCCAACACCAAAACCCTAATTGTTTAAAATTTTGTGTCGTGTTTAACTTATGTTAGAACGAGTTTATTCATATTTCATACCATTTTGAGTTCTTGTCAAGTTGGTGTGGCATTTGAGGTGGACATTTATGGCATGTAAGCTCGAAACCTCAAGACTATAACCGTTAGAGGCTGTTTGGTAAGTGGGATGGGGGGACTTTAAAAGATGAGTTGGAGGANGTTAGAACGAGTTTATTCATATTTCATACCATTTTGAGTTCTTGTCAAGTTGGTGTCGCATTTGAGGTGGACATTTATGGCATGTAAGCTCGAAACCTCAAGACTATAACCGTTAGGGGCTGTTTGGTAAGTGGGATGGGGGGACTTTAAAAGATGAGGTGGAGAANCATTTTGAGTTCTTGTCAAGTTGGTGTGGCATTTGAGGTGGACATTTATGGCATGTAAGCTCGAAACCTCAAGACTATAACCGTTAGAGGCTGTTTGGTAAGTGGGATGGGGGGACTTTAAAAGATGAGTTGGAGGAAAATAGTCCAAAAGACACACAAAACTTATATTTGACCAAAAATTTGAAACTTGGGTTACCAAGTTTAGCCCGTTATTGGCCTGGACCTTAAACCCCCGATCATGGGTTTCATACCCGCGAGGAAGGTGGGTTTTGGATGCGGGTTAATAGGTTCAAGATACAAAAAGACAATTATACTCCGTAAGTATACAAACATGAGTTTGGATTATATTGATGAAGGGACAAAATAGTTATTTATATAAAAATATATAATCATAATAGTGATATATCCGTGGATATACCAAACATGAGTATGAACTGAATTTAATGTTGAATCTCATATTTATAAAGAGGAGTTTGAGTTTGGAAGGGTTTGAGAAAGTCAATCTAAACCTTTCCCAAAAACCTATCCAAACAAACCCTAATTTTTGATTGAATCTACTACACATTCGTGTTTTATAAGTAACAAATCTTCCTAATTCACATTTTTATAAACCCAAGCAAAAAATAATTTAATCCTATGACAATTCATACAATACTATTTTTTTTTTGGGAAAGGAGAATGAGATTTGAATCCTTGACCTCAAAAAGACAAAATTTTCACAATATAAGGAGTACTATTGGATCAAAACCCATTAGTTCATACATTACTAGACTGACAAATGAAACAACAAAAGTAAAATAAGATATTTGAGATTACATATCAAAATTGAGTTATTCATTTTTTCAGTCTAACCCGACCGATTTACAATCCATATTAGCACTTCGTGTAATTTTCATATTCTATTGTGTTGGATTTAAACTGTAACATGGATCGTGTAAAAAAATTATCACCCCTAACTTTTTGATAGTTTTCATAAGGTCAAATCTAAGGGTGTCAAAAAATGACATGACTCGTTAACATGATACGAACACGATACGAAATTAGAGAATTTGAATTTTCTTTAAATCACCTGTTTAGTAAACGAGTAAACCCGACATGCTATGATTAATAAATGAATCGGTTATGGTAAAGTCAATAAGAAAAAATATACAATACGACTCATTTATATATCAGTTATATATAATTCTTATACGACACGAATCCGATATGACACAATTCTTTAGACATAAATTAATAAACGAGTCGGGTATGAGTGAAATATTTTTTGACACGAACTCGTTATAACTCGCCACAAACCTGCCTCACCAGGTCCGATTCACAGGCATAGTCAAACCCATCCGATATTTGTACTTCATTCTTGGAAGCATACAAGTTCAAAGATTTCAATAATGCTTGAACATCAAGGATTCCAAGGGAAAGAAGAAGCTAGCATAGTTAGGTTACAAGTTCTTTGAACTCTTAAGTTCTAATCATCGGCAACTACCCAGTCCCTGGTGAGTTTTAAAATCCTTGTCGTGACAAATTGCAATCTACCCAATTTAAAAACATGATCCTCAAGAATTTTCCATGAGAATTGATGTGAAAATTAAGAATAATGTTATTGAGATTTAAAAAATTAAACTAATTTGTTGACATAATGATGTGATTGTAACATAATTTAATAATATTTTTGTGACTATAGCTATTTGATTTTTTTTATTAGAACTCTATCCCTTGACACATTATACTAATGATTTTGTATGAGAATTGGTGAGAAAATTAATTATAAAGAATTTTGCATGAGAATTGGTGTGGAAATCAATTGTTTGGTAAGAGCAGTGGTACGTGGACCAAAAAATATGCACCAAATTACTTGCAGCCATCGAATAAATGATTCTTATCACTAATCCAACAGCTGTTGTTGTTTAGGTGTGAAGAATTACCCATTTGGTAATAGCATCAAATGATACCAGAATTGTTGGTAACTCAATTGTTGACTTAAAAGATAAAATTATGCTTCCCAAATTTATTTATTAAATGTTCTATCTTAAATAATGTGTCGAAATCCTATGCATTGAATATTTTGTGGAAGTTAATAGACCTTACTAATCCAACCAGACCGACTTTAGATACAAAATTTAGTAAATAATTTGGTAAACATAACATTCATCGACTTAAAAAGTATCGTATTGTCCGAGAACATACCAAAAGCATGAGTATGTCTGAAAAAACTGCATCTTAAATGCAATTAATTATGAAGTGTAATGTAAATAGACCCACAATTTTATAAATAACCTACAAACATAACACAAAAATAGACACGCAATTAGTTAGTTTGACTTTGATCTACGTAGTACGAATAAACTCATTAAACCCGTATAATAAATGGATAGGCACGAACTCAAGTAAACACGATAACTAAATTTTGTAACCTAAGTATATATGGAAGNATGAGTATGTCTGAAAAAACTGCATCTTAAATGCAATTAATTATGAAGTGTAATGTTAATAGACCCACAATTTTATAGATCACCTACGAACATAACACAAAAATAGACACGCAATTAATTAGTTTAACTTTGATTTACGTAGTACGAATAAACTCATTAAACCCGTATAATAAATGGATAGACACGAGCTCAAGTAAACAAGATAACTAAATTTTGTAACCTAAGTATATATGGAGGTGGTTTACCTTCATCCTTGTTAAAGAAAGCACTCCTTTCGTTGTCCTCCCCATGTTCGTCATTTAGCCATTCAGTTTCAGTCACAGGCTTTACGTCTACACTATCATCATCAGTAGCAGAAGAACTACTAAAGCTAGAGCTGTGACGTCGGGGAAGCCGGAGCCGCCGCCTTAACGACGCCGCCTCTTCCAGCACCTCCTCCACGCCCTCCTTCAAATGCTTCACCACTTCCATAGGCTCCTGATGAGTCTCAGAAGCTCAATCAGTAACAGTACACACCCTGATCTACCTTATTTACTTACCTTGTCATGGGTGATACTTGTACTAAGCTTTTATAGCCAAAAACTTAGGTTAATGATTGATGGAATTAATGATTAATGATTAAAAAAGTAAGGGGTTAAGGGTCAGAATGTGATCATAGACAGTGAGACTCTCATGGCACGTCTTTTTAAGCAACCGGATTAACAAGCACTCGTGTTCACGTGAAATGTGCACCGCACATGTTCATATTCTTTCAAGTCTTGGTCAATTAATACTTTAATCTCTCTTCTTGTTATTTAATAGGGTTAATAATATATTTGGTTGTTAAAGTAAATATTTATTATTATTTTAGTTCTCATTGTATCAATTTTATCTATAAAGTTTTCAATTCGTGTCATTTTGGTCTCTATATAGATTGATCATTAAGTTTTTGACAGAATGATTATGTATTGGATACGTGATACCATCTAAAAAAAATGACATGTGATCATTTTCATTAAAAAACTTGATGAATTGTCTGATTAGGGATTAAAGTGTACAGATTAAATACTTTAGAGACCAAATTGATACAAATAGAAGTGACACATATTAAGTAGTATTAACCCTACTTAATATGCACCCAACCTTATTTTGATCCCCGATGTTATTCGTGTTAACAAATCGTATCGTTTGTATCGAGAAATAGTCAATCATAATCCGTCCGTGATGGGTTGTAAATATGTTATCCTGTGGTGCTGAAATAGTCAAGATTGTACACCTAGTCTTGGTCACCGAAAAAAATAATTTTTTAACCTCTAATTCTTCGATGAATGGAGCAACTTGTTAAGACAGCTCATTTTTCCCCAGTTCATATACGATATACAACCCAAAAATATCTTGAGGATTCATACTGTCTGATGATTTCATGGGCATCTGGCTTTCTTTGTATGAAACATTTGACCTTAATTTTCACCAGCATTTTAGGTTTTTGGTTGTTGAAACATGCAATAATCCAACGAGGAGGGTGAATATTGTTGAAAAAATTGATGGTATATGTAAAAATAATATAATATATGAGAATTAAACAATATATTTATTCGTTGAGAAAGTGAAAAACTAATTGTTCTCTCGTGGAGCAATTTAGGCACGGTGTATTAGATCAATGATGCCTATTCTCTAAGATACAACAGTTTTTCACGAATGTAAACTTGGTGCGTGAGAAACCAGGAAATAATCATAATTACGATTGCCCAGAAAATTTATTGACCAAATTTTTATCCAAAAAGTTACTCAAATTACATAATTTGGATCATGAGCTATTCGAATTTTAGTCAAGAGTTATCCATATTACACATTTTTTTGTCAAATATGAATTACTTACATGAAAATGAGTTAAATTACTATAATATAAGTTATATTTTGTGTTGGAATAAAAATGTCATATTAAACATATAAAGATTCCGAATTATAGAATATATACAGAAGTGTGTGTCATAATATTATATTTATATAATAAAGTAGTTAGATTATTTGTTTTAAGTTTTTCGCGGTGTAGATCGTTTTGATCTGATGGTCCTAATTGAATTTTCATTCCTTTTACAACTCTAAAACTCTTATCTCTCTTATAACTTTCTCTATCTATCTTCCTTTTAAATGTCATATAAATATTATTTTATTTTAAAAACTTGAATTATAGTATTTCTAATAAAAAAAACAATTGTTGGTTAGTAGGGCTTATTGGTAACTAAAAAAAAAATGTGTGCAGATGTGTTTTTGTGTATATTTATATGTGGAGGATTTGACATTTAATGATTAAATTTTTTATTGTGTCACTCGGAGTTGAATGATGATAATGGTGATAAATTCGTGAGTTTTATAAATGAAAAAGATTTGCTTGTGTTTATTTATCACTTAAATATTGTGAATTTAATTGTGCTATGTTAGTTNGATTAAATTTTTTATTGTGTCACTCGGAGTTGAATGATGATAATGGTGATAAATTCTTGAGTTTTATAAAAGAGAAAGATTTGCTTGTGTTTATTTATCACTTAAATATTGTGAATTTAATTGTGCTATGTTAGTTTTTTTTTTTGCTTGAGATATTTATTACACGGGGATATGGTGGAATAGAAATAGAATAATGTTATTTGGACCTAAAAATTTGACATAATTTGCTGACATAATGTCAGGGGTTCAAAGTGTCACCAAACCCTTTATCCGGGGCCACCAGTATATTTTACCAAATAAACATTTCTGANTATGGTGGAATAGAAATAGAATAATGTTATTTGGACCTAAAAATTTGACATAATTTACTGACATAATGTCAGGGGTTCAAAGTGTCACCAAACCCTTTATCCGGGGCCACCAGTATATTTTACCAATAAACATTTCTCANAATGTTATTTGGACCTAAAAATTTGACATAATTTGCTGACATAATGTCAGGGGTTCAAAGTGTCACCAAACCCTTTATCCGGGGCCACCAGTATATTTTACCAAATAAACATTTCTGACTGTTAAGTCACATTAATATATATATCCTTAACCTTGACCTTGGCAGAGTGCTCTAAACGTGGTTTCAGTGGGATTCGAAATTTTTTCTTTCTTTCAAGTAGTGCTATTGAGATTTAAAAAATTTATTGACATAATGATGTGTTAAGTAACTCTAACGAGTAACTCAAGTGTAATATGGACGAGTTGTAAAATCAAATGTCCTGAATTTGAATCTTGACAATTCTTTAAGGCCAAGTCACGAGAGATTTATTAAATTCTTCTTGGATACTCTAGTCTCGGCATAAATGATCAATTTTTGACCGGACTAGGGAGGAGATTAATTGAGAGTGTGCGTAAGATGGCTCGGATACCTCCGACTGTTAAATAAAAAAAAAAGAAAAAAAAAAGATGTGTCAAGTGATAAAGTTTTAATGAAGAAATTCAACGGTTACCGTCATAACAATACTATTATGGGACTATGNGGATTCGAAATTTTTTCTTTCTTTCAAGTAGTGCTATTGAGATTTAAAAAATTTATAAAATTTATTGACATAATGATGTGTTAACGAGTAACTCAAGTGTAATATGGACGAGTTGTAAAATCAAATGTCCTGAATTTGAATCTTGACAACTCTTTAAGGCCAAGTCACGAGAGATTTATTAAATTCTTCTTGAATACCCTAGTCTCGGCATAAATGATCAATTTTTGACCGGACTAGGGAGGAGATTAATTGAGAGTGTGCATAAGATGGCTCGGACACCTCCGACTGTTAAATAAAAAAAAAAAGAAAAAAAAAAAGATGTGTCAAGTGATAAAGTTTTAATGAAGAAATTCAACGGTTACCGTCATAACAATACTATTATTGGACTACGTCATTACCATATCATTTAGGACAACAAATTACATCAATTTTTTAATCCCAACACCATTACTGTTTTCTTTAAGATTCGAAGATGAACGTGAGACAGGTTGGTGTACCAAAAGATTTAGGTCTACCCAGTCTTGGTCAATGAAAACAATCAATTTTTTTCCTCTATTCTTCAATGCTGGCAGCAACGTGTGAACACATCTCATTTTTCCTCGGTTGATATACGATATACAACCCAACAAAATCTTGAGCATTGATGGTTTCTGATGATTTCATGGGCACCTTAATTATCACAAGCGTTTTTGGGTTTCTGGTTGTCGAAACATGTAATAATTCAACGACGAGAGTGGATATAGTTGAAAAAATTGATGGCATGTCAAAATAATATAATATATGAGAATTAAA